ATAATTAGTACGATAGTATTATTTTGGCGAGTTTAATTGGTTCCTTACGAATTTAGGTGTGTCAAAGTTTCTTCCCTTGATATACGTTGTTTATTTTCCAGTGAAAATGATCATGCCTTTAGTATGTGGAGACCCAATTTTAGAATCTGAATTGTTCAGTTGTGGAGGTTGAATCTAAAGAGAAGAAGAAACTTCTTCCAAACTGAAATTTAACACATCCTATTGGTTTAAGGTAATAATTATATATGCAATGTTTCTCTTATAAGAAGTTTTATACGCAGCTCACCTCATCCTTTTTTGCAGCTCACTTCACCTTTTTTAAAGCTCACTTCACCTTTTTTTTGCAGCTTACTTCACCTTTTTTTTTGCAGCTCACTTCACCTTTTTTTGTAGCTCACTTCACCTATATCCATGTTTTTACTGAATATGTTGACAAAGATTTCCCGAATTTGCTTCACTTTCTAGAGTCATGTTTGGATTATATTTGTATAGTCTCACCATAAACCAAGAGAAGGAGCATTCAAGCTGAATGATGTATTCACCATTAAAATGCATGTTGTCCTGGCCACCACCCTAGCTCCTCTTCTATGATTTTTTCCACAAAGGCATCGCTCTTGGTCTTTGTTTCGGAGTCATATGTCAGCTCACTCTAAATGCTACTCTCTTAATCAGGTTTATTAAAATTGAGTGTTACATCTGATGATACTGATACATTTATGATTTCAAATGGTTTTTTTAGCTAAAGGAAAGAATGCCTAAATTGATAGTTGAGTCTGCTCTCTTACTTTGCTTATTTAAACCTTATAGCATTTCTTTATATCCGAACTGTAGAGGTATAAACTATACACTACAGTGTAATGAAATTAGTTTCCTAAATTGTTAATGGTTTAAGATTTCATTCGTTTCCATCTTTCATAGTGAACGGATCAAAATAGTGGATTATAAATAATACGTAGATAATTTTGACATGTTCATGCATTTTCACTCTCAATATATAAATGTGTTTTTGTTATTGTACTCCCTCCGTTCCCAAAAATACTTCCAACTTTCCTTTTTGGGCCGTTCCCAAAAGTTCTTCCTACTTTCCCTTTTTGGACAATTTGTGTGGCTCACATTTATTTTACCTTTTTCTCACACAACCACAACCACACATTTCCACTTTATTCCACTTTCTTAATAGGCGTGCCAATTCAAACCAGGAAGAATTTTTTGGAACGGAGGGAGTACTTTTTTGGAGTCCATATGATCTGAAACACATATACATCCAATCTGTATTTATACATCTATTGTTTTTTAAAAGTGAAACATGAGTATGATGCATTACTGAAGCAATTATCTATCTTCAATATATAGTTATGATTCCCAGGGTAACATAGGATCTATAATGGTAATTGTTAGTGCATATATGTGCTTAATTTTACGTACAAGTTTCTTCATTTTACAGACATAGAAGATGTATACTGTTATGGGAGGCCATCTTGGGAAAACATGAATCAATCATCATATTGGGCTGTTGATAGATAATAGTGCTGAACTGTGGCGAGGTGACACGAGATTAAAGCAATGCTATAAGGCGATGAAGCAAAGACTAAAATTAAGATCCGAAGATTGATGTCTCATTGTTTAAAGATTGCATACGTTTTGTATAGGCAATGGATATGTTGAATATTTGATTATTGACTACTTTATTGCTTATTTATTAGTTTTGAATTGAAATGTGAGTGGTTATGTATGATTTGGATCTTTGCAAAACATTAATTAATATATTATACTGTGTTTTCATCAATTAATTATTAATGTTTGCAAATGGAGATGGAGTAATGGTTGCAAATACTCAAATAGTGTGGTCGCAATTATTGATTAATTTTTGTAAAAAAATTATTAGCAAAGGGAAAGTGGTTGCAATTACTCATAATATGTGGTCTCAAATAATATCATTAGCGACGGGATTCTAATTGGTCCCAAAAAGTTTTAGCGACTGGCCGCATTTCCCGGTCGCAAAAGATCTTTTGCGGCGAGGCCTATAGGGACTGTTGCGCGACCAGATTTTCCGGTTGCAAATAAGTGTTAGCGACTGTTTTTTTAGTTTTTGCGACCAATATTCCCTCCGCTAATAGGACTTTTTCTTGTAGTGCATATTACAATAATTAATTCACTGCCGATTAAGAAAGTACTGATTGTCAAACAAAATAGACATAAATTAAAACTTTTTCAAGCTGTCAAATTCTACATTTCTCCATCCGCACAAAAATTTTTCGTTGATCAACTGTCACTTCTTGAAACTCTCCAATTGTCTTTATTTCATCAATTCATAGATATGTGTCTTCTCCATTAGCAAATACATATCTATTAAAATATTAATAATTATTATATATATTATTAAATAGATATTATGTGTGTGTCAGTTACTCCCTCTGTCCCATTTAAATCTTTACACTTTTCAAACACATGTGTGTGTGTGTCAATTACTCCCTTCGTCCCATTTAAATCCCTACACACACAGAAACACGTATGCGGGTTAGCAGGTGGGTGAATGGAGCGGGTGAGGGGTCGATTTATAGGATAGATGAATGTTCATCCACATCCGATCCAACCCATCTTTCAATCCACCCGTCATCTATTTTTCATCCATGTTTTTTTTTTGGATTTTAGTCCATGTTTTCGGGTTGGATTGACCGGATATCCGTGGGTGTGGTAATATTGCTAGCCCTACCCTCGAGCTCTATAGGTTAATTTTTATTTATCATATAGTCAAATTTGGTGTTTGAATTGCAGTAAATATATGTTACAATAATCTTTTCTCAAATATTTTTTATCTTTAAATTAGAACCTTGTTTCTTATTAATGTTTGGACCACTGCATCTTCCCTAAAGATATATTTATACTACTCATAAATGTTATGTGCATTGTGCATTTAGGGATATATATTTTTCCTAAACAATTTTTGTCTTTGTTGCACCCCATTCAGGGTGTAAAGTTTAAAAATTTGAAAATAGAGTGCAAATTCAAATTTCCTATTAAAAATTTAGTCAAATATTTCTTTTTATTTTACTCCAAATCAGTTACTCCGTAGCTTTTAATGTTGTAAAACTAAAACTAATAAGTCTAATTCCTTAAATTAGCTTGAATTATGGTAAAACATAGATAAAATGTATAATAGGATTAATGAGTTTGATTTTACACACCATGTTTTGGATGATGTTAGACATTATAGTCGATTTTCAAAATCATTAATGTGTGCACTCCATCAAATACGGAGTAAGTTCTAAGGATGTTTTCTTTTGAAATGTTATCAATCTCAAATCAGACTAGATCATATCAGATCAGGCATAAAAAGATCGACCAGATCAGACTTACAGACTAGACTTGGACAGTTATAAAATACCCAAAGACCAGACCGATTCGATTCTGACAAGACCAGACCAGTTCAGATTTAATAGACCAGACCAGATCGCTTCAGTCCAAAAGAAAACATTCTAATTTGGAACAAAATATTTACACTTTCCTTTTTGGATGTCCCATTTACTCTTTTACGTTTCTTGTAACTCTTTTTACGTTAAATGTCTTAACTACCCTTCACTACACACTCACTTTTTACATTTGAGTGGATAACATTAGGGGCAATTACCAAAATAGGAGTAAAACATAGGACGTGCAATATATATATATATATATATATATATATATATATATATATATATATATATATATATATATATATATATATATATATTGTTCTTCTATTAATTGAGCTCCAAAAATAGAATGTCAAAAGTTTTATTCGAGACGGAGGGGCATACTATTACCTATGTTGCACGGATACGGATACGCCGATACACGGATACGCGGATACGGGTACGGCGCTACGGCACTTTCAAAAATTATAGGATACGGGTACGGGGGTATATTTATAAATAATAAAAATATAGGGTATAATTTGCAAATATATATAATTCAGGGGTTCATAAATAAAATAATAATAATAGTACAAAAAATTAACTATTATAATAAAGTTTCAAAGATTATTCTAAAAAACTAAAGTATTGATATTTTGATTTAAATTCAAATAATTTTTTTTGTTCTCTATTTGCATTTACATCCAAGTCTTGTTTCAATTAAATATCATCAAGCAATGAAATGTCAAAATATAGTATTCCATTATTTTTCATACTCCCGAAACCATCTTTATCAATGTTCCACATGTTGTGGTCGCTTGGTTGGCTACTAAATTTTCGTCATGTCGTGTATAAAATGAGGGGTTATAGGTTCAGATACGCGTATCGGTTCACGGATACGGGTATCGGAAGTATCGGTATTTTTAAAATTAAGCCCGATACTTTTATTAAATTACGGATACGGACCCAATACGTACAGGACGGGTATCGGTGAGTATCGGATACGGATACGTATCGGATACGCGGATACGACATCGAAGTGAAGTATTGGTGCAACATAGACTATTACGTTCTTTTTTAGTTAGTCACTTTTTTATTTCTAGCTAACCAATAATTCTAAATTTTGGGCAAACACTTTAACTAATACTTCTTCATAATATACACTTCTTGTTTAGATTGTCTAAAAATATACTAGTAACATTTTTTTGTCAACAGTGTTAATGTTTAGACAATAATTTAGATATTATATATTTCCGTGTAATTTATAAAATTTACACTTTTACGAAAGATTTTTCAATAAAAATACGGTGATATGATTTTCATATTTTAAATAATTTTATATTAAAAAAATCATTAATCAAACTCTAAAATTCATTTCAGTCAATGTTTTCAAGACCTTGTTTTTTACAAAGACAATTTGGATCGGCTCTGGAGTCTGGAATAATCTCACAAATGCCCCGCAGCTGCCACCTCTCCCATCCACTAACTACGTGTCCGCACTCTCCTTCTTCCTCCTACACGTGGCACTAAATCTTACATCTCGTCATCCCTCTCCTCCTACACTATTTAACTCCAGCCTCCATCCACCCTACGTACGTCCAATTAATATTGTCCAAATAAATCAAAGAAATTATACTCAACGACATAGATCGATCGAGACCATCATGGCATCAAGACAATCGGCGAAGACGGAGAGGGCTGAAGCCGAAGCCCGGAGGGCGGCGGACGAGCTCAGCGAAGTCAACAAAGATAAAAGAGAGAGCCGAGCAATACGGCTGGAAACTGGTCATCCCACCGCCGGATACACCACCACCACCCACCGAGAAGAGGAGGAGGAGAGGAAGCCCGGCGTCATCGGCAGCTTAATCAAGTCGGTCCAAGGTACTCTGGGTCATGCAAAGGATGCCGTTACCGGAAAAGCCAGCGACACCGTGGAAGCCACCAAGGAAACGGCGGAGCAAGCGGCTCAGAAGGCCAAGGAGACAAAAGACTCCGCCGTAGGGAAGACCCAGAGTGCCGCTGAGCAGGCTAAGCAGAAAGCCGCGGAGGCAAAGGCCGCGACCGCAGGAAAGGCCGCGGAGTACCGGGATTACACCGCTGAAAAAGTGAAGGAAATGAAGGACGGCACGGTCCAGAAGGCGGGAGAATATAAAGACTACGCGGCGGATAAGGCGAAACAAACGGCCGATGCCACGGCTGAGAAAGTAAGAGAAGCTAAAGATTACACAGCTGAGACAGCGAAAGAAATGAAGGACGGCACGGTCCAAAAAGCGGGAGAATACAAAGATTACGCAGCCGATAAGACGAAACAAACAACCGATGCCACCGCTGAGAAAGCAAGAGAAGCTAAAGACAGGACAATGGATAAAGCAGGGGAGTACAAAGATTACACGGCCCAGAAAGCGGGAGAAGCTAAAGACAAGACGGTGGAGTACAAAGATTACACGGCTGAAAAAGCGGGAGAGGCTAAAGACAAGACGGCGGAGAAGGCGGGGGAGTATAAGGATTACACGGCCGAGAAAGCGAGAGAAGGGAAGGACACGACGGTTGGCAAGCTGGGTGAGCTGAAGGACTCGGCCGCTGACGCGGCTAAGAGGGCTATGGGTTTCTTAACGGGAAAGAAAGATGAGGCTGTGCAGAAGGCGGAGGAGAGTGGGCAGGCGGTCCGGGAGAAGGCGGAAGAGACTGGCCATGCCACCAGGCAGACAGCGGAGGAGACCGGGCAAGCCGCCAAGGTTAGCCGTTTATAGCCCTCCAATTCCCTTATACTCTCTGTATTATTATAACTTACTTTGTATTAGTGTGTATATAAATATATGCCATATTTGAAGAACTACGAGTTATAAATACTCCCTCTGTCGGAATAATATGATGTGAAAAAATTGTGCTTTGGGTTGATTGTACTTCAATTTGTTGTTACAATATTGAAATTAAGGAAACAACAAAATTGGTTATCTCATTAGTCAATGTTTAGTCTAATATGTCACCTTGTTTAACATGTAAATTAATTTCCGTATATGGGGACGAGATGTAAAAGCCCTTGATCCGGGGATCATTTGAAATATGAGAATTAGTGTCACATTTTTTTCAGGAAAAGATGTATGACAGCAAGGAAGATGTAAGGAGGAGAATGGAAGACATGCATCTCAAAGACGAGTATAACCTTCAGGATGAAGGTCGATGGAGGGATGAGACTGGGAGGTGAGTTTTCACCTATCTAAAATATTAATTAGTTCCATCATTTTCTTGTCAAAATTGTATTCTTTGATCCTTTAAATATGTTAAATGTCCCACACCGGAAAATTGAGAAGCACTAGAGTGCTATATTAAGCTTCGGGCTACTCCTCCTAACAGGTTGACCTTTTAGGATGGAACCCCGTGTCTTAACATGGTATCAGAGCCAAATCGATCCATGGTGTGGGCCCCTTATGAAAAATGACGACTCGATAAAAAAAAATTGATGAACCGATGAAAAAATGAATGACGACACGATCCAGACGAAGTGTCTGGTCGTGAGGAGGGGTGTTAAATGTCCCACACCGGAAAATTGAGAAGAAAATATACTAGTAACATTTATGAAATCATGCATATGCATCACTTAAGTTACTGCGCCATCAGTTTCAAATTGATTCGCAAATAAGTCTTGATTTGTGAAGTCAATATTTTTATTGTACATGATGGAGATGTGTGACCGTTCATTTGATTTGGTCAGGGAAAGTGGGGGAAAGAGTGGGGAAGGAGTAGGGCTGTTTGCCGGAATGAAGGACAAACTTCTGGGTACGACCGGGCCGAGGCACGACGACGAGAAACCAGCAGCGGGGGAACCGAGAATCACTCGGGTGGTGGTGGACGTGGATGAGACGCCGGTGGGGAAAACGTCAGCGACTTTGAAGGCGAGTGATCAGATGACGGGGCAGACGTTTAACGACGTTGGCCGTCTCGATGACGAAGAGATAGCAAAATGGAGCCCTTGATTAAGCTATACATATATATGATGCATGATATGCTAGCTATACTAGTACGTTTGGTTGGTTGTTATGTACACCGATTTCCTATCGGCTAGCTGCTCTGTTTCTGTTCAAATTAAACTTGTGATCTTTTCTTTCTTCATAATTCAACAATAATGCGATGTATGTAGTATGTACCTCGCTTATATTTACTCCCTATATTGGAATAAGGAGACATCCCTTATTCTTCCCTCATAACTAATAAGGGAATGGGTCCTTATCAAATCCCTCATTAAACTTTCGTTATTTCCAATGGCTATGACGACCCAATTCCCTTATTAATGGTATTACAGATTAATACGTGGATGAGTGAGAACACTTGCCTTTAATAAGGCATAGACCGTCATTCGATTCATACGTGGATGAGTGAGAACACTTGCCTTGTATAAGAAATTAATAAGGGCCGATCCGTTATTCATTTTATTATTAACAAAATAATCTTTTGCCCTGCAAAACAATTGCATTTTGAATTGTATAATTTTATTTAAATTGTACTATTGTGAAAAACACAAAATACGAGTATATATGAGGCTTTTTGGGGGGATTATACGTACGACTGTACGAGGCTTTGAATAATTCAAAATAAAATGACATTAAAATTTAATTATATATAATCCAGCGGCTAATTAGGATACAGTAAACGTCATAAACAAAATTCAATACAGTTTCACTAAACAGAACCAAGTTCATTGATTATGAATGATAAAATACAAATACAATACATACAGGTAATATATCATTCAAAGAATCATCTTCATTACATTTAGATCGATAACTAATTTTGAGCTAAATTGTTGGAAAGGACCCTCCTCCCAAAGCAGAGATTGCCAGCGTTGATAGCATTTTTTAGCATCCTTCCAAATCTTGACATCAAATATATGTTGAAATAGAACTCTTGCACCTGCTGAAAATGTTACAAAAATTTAAGAACTCATAAAGGATTATCATTCAAATACACTACGAAAACTGTCTTTAGTATGATTTGATAAAAATCTGAAAAGACAATATAGATTTTATTTTGATAATAAGAACCCCAATACATACGATACATATACTCGTACAATATTAAGATAAACAAACAACAAATTAAAGAAACATCTTACCCGGAGTTACATCGAGGAATACGAACACATCTGGTTAGACTGAGCCGGCGGCTTGTTATTCGAGTTAATTTAAACGAAATTTATCAGACGAAGGATAGACAATTACGAAGCAGAATCAACATTCCAGGGGCAAATGAGATGCGATGGGAGAAAGCCTACGGGGGATTAGGATGAAAAGGAGATGCGGCCGCTCTTCAAATTCAGATGTGCTAGGATTAGGGTTGGAAGAGATGGTAAAGATGCTTTTATCCGAGTATCTTTTACAATTTCAATTTAGACCCCATTTTCAATTTGAAACTAAGTTTTGCCCCATTCAAAAGTTTTAAAAAATTAAACTCCGTATAAAAAAACGTACGAGTATCTAATGAGGAATTAAGTATCTGTAGGAGACCCATTTTTTCTATTTCGTTTTTTCCTTTCAACCATTTCAATTTTCATTATATTTAATTTTCAATCAAATTATTAATTTTTTTAATGAGATAAGTTAAACAGTTTTTTTCAAAAAAAAATAATTTTCATACACTAATAAATAAAATGTATCTAAGATATACATGTGAATAATGCAAATTAGCAATGTTGCAACTAATAAATAAGAGGAGGATAATATTAATCAATCACTAGTTAGTTCGTACTATTTACCTCATCGGGTATTAAGATGTTTTACTTGGATTGAAATTTTGCAATCTAGTCCGATTTGTTTACATCGGGTATCACTGTATTGAAATGTCAGACGTGTGTTTCTAAGATTGTAAATGTTACTCCCGAATTGACAAATGTGTTCTAAATGTCATCCTTGATGAATTTAGTGGTAGTCCAGAATTGGAGATGTTAAAAACACAAGGATGACATTTACAAGGAACCCACGTCCAGGCTGATCTGATTAGCAGGTGTTGGTTCCAGTTATACAAGGAACCATCTAGATGGGGGGTGAGTAGACGGTTCTGGTTTTTAACCTTTTCAAGCTAAGTACCAAGGTTAACAGAATAGACTGTTCTGTTGAAGAACAGACTGGCAGCGGATGGTCTTTGGGTAGGGGTTCTGTCCGGTTAGCCTCACAGAGGTTCAAAGGCAATAGGCCTTATGTTAACTGACAGAATGGATTCTGCTGGACACAAAGACCAAGTCTTTGGAGTTAAGCAGTTTGAGATAAATACAAGTATTAAAAGCAGTTAGTAAATGACACAGGATTTTTATAGTGGTTCAAGAAACAACTCGTTCCTCTAATCCACTGTTCCACTAAGCTTGTAAAAAACACAATTACACAGCCTTAGTCCTAGCACTTAAGAAGCTCTCCACGCCTTCTTCAAGTCTAGTTGTCACCCGGGATGCACTTCCTTGCTTCCTGATCACTGGTCCCTTTTCACTGAGTTTCCTTGAAGTATCCCCACTTCACTACTCCAGTTACTTTGAAACGCCCTTCTTTAGAAGAAGATTGTTTAGAACAAAATTTTCTCCAACTTGCTTCGTCACAAAAGATATGTAGTTGATGTGTTTGAAGTGTTGAAGAACTGGAGGAACTTTGCTCTTGATTGGATATGGAAGATGTGGAAAAAATATCTTTTCCAACTTAAGCTTTTCTTGTTGAGGATGATGAGGGTGAGATCTTAAGAAAGCTTTTTGAATGTTTGTCGAAAGAGCAAAAGTTATCCGAATAGTTCTTCATGTAGTATCATATATACTAGAGTTGTCCTCCCGTTGGAGGAAGAAGACAACTTCATTAAATGCTTGCACCGTAGATTTGTCCGGTTGGTTCCAAAAGCAGAAAGCTTGCCATTTTTGGGCAGGTAAAGATATTCTTTTTGGATCCTTGGTCAATCATCAGTTTTAAATTTCTCAACGTGTGAAGCATATTAAATGGGCATTTAATGCGTGTACTGTAGCTTTCCCAGTGAGAAGCTCCTAGCCGTTAGGGCCGTTAGTTTAACCGGCTTAGGTAGCAGCAAAATTCTCTAAGTGTGAGGCCATCTGTTGCTTTACACAGAGGGGCAATCTCACAGAGCCTCGAGCACTTCTGTCTAGTAGAAGTCCAACAGAGGGCTTGAAGGTCTTCTGTCTAGTCGATTACTCTAATGCTTACATATGGAAATTTCTAATACAATTTTCTTAAGGAGTTGTGTTCTAAAAGCCTAAAGTCTAGCATCATCAAAATCTAAATACAATTTATTCCTTACAACAGGTCTCGAGTTTGCCATGAAAACTTGAATGAAGATTCTCCTCTTCAATATTGGGTGCCATTTGAGGGTCCTTTTCTCTTCAATGTCAACACATACCCTTTTGAGTTCAAAGTCATCACCCAATAATGCTTAAGAGATCTCCAAGCAAGCACTTTTGATACTTGAATTTCAATTTTTCCATATTTAGTCCTCAACTATTGTGTGATAGACACTTTTAGTCCTCGACTTCAATGTTTTCCACATTTCGTCCATTGAGTATTCTAAAATTGACATTTTTGGTTCTTCCACTATGAATTTGACACAATAAAGAGACTAAAAATGCCGCTGTTATAATTGTTGAAGGACCAAAAATGTCAAATTTATGAAAGTCGGAGGACTAAATGTGGAAACACTCAAAGTCGTGTACCAAAAATGTCAATGACATAATAATCGGAGGACAAAAATGGAAAAATTCAAAGTCGAGTATCAAAAGTGTCAATGACATAATAGTCGGGGGACTAAAAGTGGCAAAAACTCATTTTTTATTAAAGTTTGTTTAATCTAGTTTATGATTACAATAAGTCAAATTAAACATACCTACATTATAAAAATATTTTATTTGAAAATATTTATATACGAAGTGTGTTTTATGCTTGTGACTGTGTATGTTTTTACTAGAACTTTTTTTCAATCCCAGACAGAGCGGATAGACTAGATCGGATCAGTCCCGTTCAGATTAGACCAGACCAAATCGGAATCTGGCAGTTGTAAAATACACAGAGACTGTATCAGATATTTACAAGATCATAACAAAATCGTATAGGACAGATCAGACCATGCCAAATCAGATCAGACCAAACCACATCAGAAAGTAATAAAATAAAAACTGTGTGATTGCGGCTTGTGTAGATGAGAAAGAAATAACAGGAACCACAAAATAATTTTTTAAATGAAAAATTGACAAGATTGTTTGGGATATGGGAAAAAGAAAAGTTGAAAAGGTTTCAAAGGAAAGTACTCCGTATTCAATTAATATTATAATAATATAAACGGTGAGAACTTAGAATTGAAGTGGGGATAATGAAAAATAGTCTCTTTCTCTTACTCGTATTATTTTTTCATAACAAATGAAATTTAGTGTAAAAGATTCTTTTCCTACGGTATGAGGGACGTGGCGTCATTAATTCCTTAGAGCATCTCCAATGGGGATGTCTATTCTCTTACACACTCTTACAATCGGGTCCCATTTTTTATCTCACAAATTTTATGTGTAGGACCTACATATCTCCATATTTATTTTCATTTTCATTTTTTTATATCACTTCTAACTCACTTATCATCCACTTTTGTTCATCGATTCCCGTGTAATGTCTATTTGTGGACATTGTCATAGACATTGTCTACAATTTACTCCTATCTCTCTCTTCCTTTTCATTTTTCACACACACCACTTACTCCAATCCACTACCCCACGTATGAGTTCAGTGCCATGTCATCGCAGTCCAATAACAGAGAGTTCCGTTATTAATCTCTTATAGAATTTTGCGGTCAAATTTAAGTCCACTCTTACAATAAGGGATGAATGAGGGATTGGTATTAAAGGGTGTGAGGGCTCTTCTCATCAGGCCGGCCTGACGGGCTGCCCCGTCCGGCCGAGCCCGTTTGGGCACCTTCCCGGTGGAATTTTTTGATGAAATTTTTTGAGCATGTTCCTCATCAAGTCTAGTTTGTCCATACCAAATTTCAGCTCAAAACTCGATCGGGAAGGTCGTCAAATGATTTTTGCAAGTTAACTGGTCCGGAAAATACATATTCCGGACCAGTTAACTTGAAAAAATCATTTGACGACCTTCCCGATCGAATTTTGAGCTGAAATTTGGTATGGACAAACTAGACTTGATGAGGAACATGCTCAAAAAATTTCATCAAAAAATTCCCCCTGGAAGGTGCCCAAACGGGCTCAGCCGGATGGGGCAGCCCGTCAGGCCGGCCTGACATGAAGTTTCCTCTAGAGGGTGTTATCACTGAAAATCCCTTATAGTGGCCGTCATTATTTTTGCTTCATTCACGTAGTGCATCCACCCTACGTACGTCCAATTAAAATTGTCCAAATAAATCAAAGAAATTATACTCAACGACATAGATCGATCGAGACCATCATGGCATCAAGACAATCGGCGAAGACGGAGAGGGCTGAAGCCGAAGCCCGGAGGGCGGCGGACGAGCTCAGCGAAGTCAACAAAGATAAAAGAGAGAGCCGAGCAATACGGCTGGAAACTGGTCATCCCGCCGCCGGATACACCACCACCACCCACCGAGAAGAGGAGGAGGAGAGGAAGCCCGGCGTCATCGGCAGCTTAATCAAGTCGGTCCAAGGTACTCTGGGTCATGCAAAGGATGCCGTTACCGGAAAAGCCAGCGACACTGCGGAGGCCACCAAGGAAACTGCGGAGCAAGTGGCTCAGAAGGCCAAGGAGACAAAAGACTCCGCCGTAGGGAAGACCCAGAGTGCAGCTGAGCAGGCTAAGCAGAAAGCCGCGGAGGCAAAGGACGCGACCGCAGGAAAGGCCGCGGAGTACAGGGACTACACCGCTGAAAAAGCGAAGGAAATGAAGGACGGCACGGTCCAGAAGGCAGGAGAATATAAAGATTACGCGGCGGATAAGGCGAAACAAACGGCCGATGCCACGGCTGAGAAAGTAAGAGAAGCTAAAGATTACACAGCTGAGAAAGCGAAAGAAATGAAGGACGGCACGGTCCAAAAAGCGGGAGAATACAAAGATTACGCAGCCGATAAGACGAAACAAACAACCGATGCCACCGCTGAGAAAGCAAGAGAAGCTAAAGACAAGACGGTGGAGTACAGAGATTACACGGCTGAGAAAGCGGGAGAGGCTAAAGACAAGACGGCGGAGAAGGCGGGGGAGTATAAGGATTACACGGCCGAGAAAGCGAGAGAAGGGAAGGACACGACGGTTGGCAAGCTGGGTGAGCTGAAGGACTCGGCCGCTGACGCGGCTAAGAGGGCTATGGGTTTCTTAACGGGAAAGAAAGATGAGGCTGTGCAGAAGGCGGAGGAGACTGGGCAGGCTGCCAGGCAGAAAGCAGAGGAGACTGGGCAGGCGGTCCGGGAGAAGGCTGAAGAGACTGGCCATGCCACCAGGCAGAAAGCGGTGGAGACCGGGCAAGCCACCAAGGTTAGCCGTTTATAGCCCTCCAATTCCCTTATACTCTCTGTATTATTATAACTTACTTTGTATTAGTGTGTATATAAATATATGCCATATTTGAAGAACTACGAGTTATAAATACTCCCTCTGTCGGAATAATATGATGTGAAAAAATTGTGCTTTCGGTCGATTGTAGTTCAATTTGTTGTTACAATATTGAAATTAAGGAAACAACAAAATTGGTTATCTCATTAGTCAATGTTTAGTCTAATATGTCACCTTGTTTAACATGTAAATTAATTTCCGTATATGGGGACGAGATGTAAAAGCCCTTGATCCGGGGATCATTTGAAATATGAGAATTAGTGTCACATTTTTTTCAGGAAAAGATGTATGACAGCAAGGAAGATGTAAGGAGGAGAATGGAAGACATGAATCTCAAAGACGAGTATAACCTTCAGGATGAAGGTCGATGGAAGGATAAGACTGGGAGGTGAGTTTTCACCTATCTAAAATATTAATTAGTTCCATCATTTTCTTGTCAAAATTGTATTCTTTGATCCTTTAAATATGATTTAATAATTCACATTTTGAGAAGAAAATATACTAGTAACATTTATGAAATCATGCATATGCATCACTTAAGTTACTGCGCCATCAGTTTCAAATTGATTCACAAATAAGTTTCAAATTGATTTGTAAAGTCAATATTTTTATATTGTACCTGATGGAGATGTGTGACCGTTCATTTGATTTGGTCAGGGAAAGTGGGGGAAAGAGTGGGGAAGGAGTAGGGCTGTTTGCTGGAATGAAGGACAAACTTCTGGGTACGACCGGGCCGAGGCACGACGACGAGAAACCAGCAGCGGGGGAACCGAGAATCACTCGGGTGGTGGTGGACGTGGATGAGACGCCGGTGGGGAAAACGTCAGCGACTTTGAAGGCGAGTGATCAGATGACGGGGCAGACGTTTAACGACGTTGGCCGTCTCGATGACGAAGAGATAGCAAAATGGAGCCCTTGATTAAGCTATACATATATATGATGCATGATATGCTAGCTATACTAGTACGTTTGGTTGGTTGTTATGTACACCGATTTCCTATCGGCTAGCTGCTCTGTTTCTGTTCAAATTAAACTTGTGATCTTTTCTTTCTTCATAATTCAACAATAATGCGATGTATGTAGTATGTACCTCCGCTTATATTTACTCCGTATATGTATATCGATCCCAGATGTTTTCGTTATTTAGTTGAGTGATGAAACGACTGAATACGTGATGGTTCAATTTCACTTTCAATCCAAAGCATAAGTAGTGACGTAGTGTAATGAACTGAAAATATTTCAGTTCTGTAGCTTCATACTTCAGTATAATGAGACTACGAATTTCAATGTTGTTCAATGGATCAATGGTGTAAAACTGAAGGATTCCAATATTGAAGACTACAATTGACGTACACTTTGTCGTGAGTGCACTCAAAGTAAATTCAATACAACACTTATACGTAGTATAGCGTAGTAGAGTTCGTATCCACAGGGAAAGGAATAACTTTCTTTTTATGAATATAGTAAATAAAAGGGGGGTTTTGTTTGTTGAGTGATTTAATTAATTTTAAACACGAAGATGAACGATTTGTATGGGATTTAATTCAAAGATAAGATTGACTTGGTATTGCTACTTTACACTTGTTGATATATTTTGGTCGATCATTGTTATATCTATAACTTATCTCCTCTCGAATACTCAATCGAGGAGTATATCCAATTCATCGAGGATAGTTATTAACAACGACCGTTCATTAATAACCCTTACTATTAGTCAAGTATAGAACAAGCGCCGTATACCGACTTGATAGTAGCATTTAATCGCTTAACTCCTTGATGAAATCAATTGAGATCGATAACCTCAACACAAGCGGTTTTGGTTTCATCAACACAATTAATTCCTCTTAGGTCTATTAACCACAACCGTGCATTAATAAACCGAAGTTACTTACTTGTGAAACCATGAACGATTACCATTGGTTCGTTGATCGTATCTAGTAGTAATTAATATATGAAACAAAACTAGTTGATCCTTTAAGTAATGTTCAAAATATTAATATGAAATATGAATAGGAATTAATTAATACTCAAGGAAGAATATTAAATAAGATGAATCCTACTATAGTTAATATCAAGATGTTAACTAATTGTCATCTTAGTAACACTCCCCAATATTAACATAGAGAAAGAAATGATTATTACTATAACTAATGTCAAGATGTTAACTAATTGTCATCTTAGCAACACTCCCCAACATTGATATAGAAATAGCATTTGAAGAAAGAATTAATATTCAAGGGAAGAAGTTAAGAAAATAACTCACAACTTTAATAATCAACAAGCTTCAAGAGCAATACCAAGAAATGGAAGTTTAGCTCCTCATTTGGAGACTAAACATGCTAAAAGAAATATAGAGAAATGCTATTCTAAACTGAGCTTAAGAGTATATAGGAATTGGTGTTTTTAAAGTGAAGGAAAGGAGGTGTATTTATAGGCTTTTTGAAATGCAGGCCGAGTACTCGATCGAGTATGTACATATACTCGATCGAGTATGTGTAGAAACCTAAATTTGGTCAATACTCGATCAATACTCGAGTAGATTTTATATGTATACCCGATCGAGTATGTCGGTGTACTCGATCGGGTATGACAATAGAACGTGGCCAAATCTTTCCTTGCATGTTCATTTGTTCCCGGATCGGATCCTTGAAAATCAGTATTGGTACTCGATCGAGTATAAGGTATACTCGACCGAGTATACCCCAAAATCAGGAGTTTTTCCTTCTTTTTGTCTTCTACTCTTGCACCTTCCTTCACCTTTGATCATTTGATTGATCTTGGACCTGTTTAAGCTCAGAATAAATCTAATCTAACCAAATTACAAGAATTTAACAAACTACACTATTACACCGAAAGTGTGTAATTTCCGAAATATTAAACAACCAAAACTAACTAAAAACGTAAATAAACACACGGAAATTACAAACGTATCAACAATTCACTTGTTTGAGGGAATATAACGATTAACGACGATGAAATTCGGTTATACGGAGTGTAGGGAAGTGGATTCTGTTGGTACTCTAACAAAAATGTGTGCTCCAGAACTCTAATTCAAGAAAAGAAGTACAAGGCTCCTCCAAGTAAGTAAATTAGAACTCTTGTAACTAAATTAAACCTGACAAAATCCATGTCACCAACTATTAAGCAATGTGTGTGTATATTACTATTTTGATTTGTGTGAACCTCGACTAATCACGCCAATGTCTGTATTTTTTGTAATGTTGAAACCTTGGTGTTCAAAAAAAATAGAATGGTAAACATTGTTGGGGTATTAGTAGGCTGTAGGCCCATTGCTTGGATACCTACGATGTTTCTATTGGAGTGCAGACTAGAAATGTTGGGCTCACTTATGAACATATTTATGAGAAGAAGAAGAAATATAAACTCTACAACTCTCCCTCACCTTAAGCAACTGCATCAAGGCCAAGAACTTCATCTGGAAATGACTGAAGAGAAATATATAAGTCAGTCTCTTGAAATTGATACACAATACTTTTATAAGGAAAGCCTTCAGCAGTCTTATCTGCTAACCAGTCTTTCCAGTCCCAATGTGTCAACAATCATCATTCTTCATGAAATAACCACAGATATATTATTTCATGAGATGAAGAAACATATTTTAAACTATACTTTAGAGAAGAAAAAAAAAAATAAACACTGACTTTATTTATGAGAAGAAGAAATCCACTTTCCAATTCCCACATTTTGGAGCGTAACAGTTGTTTCTCCCTCTAGTTAGGATTTTAGCTCTTCCACTTATCTTATCGATTGGGCGGCTATTCGATGTGGGGTTTTCCCATGCGATGAGTTTCCTGAAGCGAACAAGAAGCAGAGACAACAATGGCGAGAGGATGGCGTCATCAAGTGAAGGTCATGGACGAAGCTTGGGTTAAAAGCTGGAACAGATCTGGATTCAACGTCATCTGTGATTGGTGACGAAAGTAGAGGCTTGAAAGAAATGATGATGAATAAGAGGTGGGGTGAGGAAGAAGTTATTGTACTGTTGGCTTGTCCCCCTCCTGAACCGCAGCCATAGAGTGCAAGAGAATCTAGGGTTTAGAAGAAAACCAGTGAACTCTGTTTTAATTCCGTTTTTTGTTTGTTTGTGTTTTTATTTCAAACAGCATGTTGTTTTGGTTGTATTTTTATTTCCTATCAGAAAAACTCTAGAATTCAAAATTCAAGACAGGTGACGAGAAGTATGGTTTGCTCGTTATTGGCTCAGTTAAGTCCATTACAGGATCAACGAATATTATTGCTTTAAGGAGGTGATAGATTCTAAGTCTCGTTCGAGAGAAGACGGCAGACATGAGACTTTTGTCGTTTTATATCTTGCTTAAGTTTTGTTATTGTTGTGATATCAATTCAAGCTTCTTTTTTCCCAAAAAAATAATTATTTATCGTTGAACACTAAACTAATCAGCAGTGGCGGACACACATGGGGGCTATGGGGGGCTGCCGCCCCTCCGGCGGGAAAAAATTCTAGGTATATTTACCCCGAAAATTTTAATATATATGTATTTGTATGTATATTCTTGTACTGCCGCCCCTGCTATCCGGAAATCCTGCGTCCGCCGCTGCTAATCAGCATAAGGATGCAATGTCCTAGAAAAATGTAGTTAAATGTTTATTTATTCCAACTTTATAATTTGTGTCCATATTTCCTAAAAACTAAGAGAGATATTTCTAAACATGAAAGACTAGAAAATAGGGGTGGGCGCGGTCCTGTCCGGTCCAGTATTTGGCGGAACCCGTACCCATACCATGACTATTCAAACGGTTCGGTCTAAGACCTAAACCCGTTCGGTACGGTTCCATTTTCAAACGGGATGGTACCATGTCATACTAATATCAAACAATGCCACTTTTTCTAAGTGTTTGAGGAAAAAATTAAAGTTTAGCCATCCCCCAAAAAAATTAGACATTTTATCAATTTTAATACTCCCTCCATCCCAAATTGATATGCAAAGTCTATATTTTTTGGTCAACCAATGTTAAAGTCAAATTCTCTTAGTTGATAACTAATTCAATTTTTAACAATTAAAATTTACATATTCAGAAACTACATTAAAATCTCTTCAAAGTTGCAAATCCAAATTAAATATAATTAAAAATTGACATCCTAATTAAATGAATAAAATGAAACCGTTTGACCAAGAAAAGTTAATTTTGCAAATCAATTCGGGACGGAGGTAGTATTACATAATTAATAAATTTCAGATAAACTATAGTAGTACAAATTTAAATAATAAAACCATATATCGGTCCGGTTCCAGACTTCCTATTAACTCGCAAAGGCAGTCAAAATGTGAAAACATTAGTCAAAGTAATGGTATAAATATAAATTTATACCATTACTTCGGTCCGGTTCGATCCGGTACCGGTACCAGTTCTCATTTTATGAAAACCGGTCATAGCATTGTTTAAAACCGGTACGGTCCGGTTCGGGGCAAGAAAATTGAGATCTGTTTCAAACCCTGTCTTTCGGTCAGGTACCATACCGGTCGGTTCAGTATCATGCCGGCTCAGTATTTTTGCCCACCCCTACTAGAAAAGGATATTCCGTAATTTTTAAAAGATGAGGTCCAAATAATAATTTTTACTTCTTAAACCCCCCTGCTAAAATCGGGAGTCAGAAGTAGGGACCGCGGAAAATATCGAGCTATCAATATAAATTGATACGCCGACTAGGGTTACATAGTTGCGAAGGAAGCAGGAAGAGCGGCAGTGCACCTCGGAGTCATGGTTCTCAAGTAATTTTCTTTGATTCAATTTTAGCATCCACTGCAATTTATCTGTTTAAGGAATCTGTATGATGTTGTTTCTCGCGGTGTTCACCTCTATAATTTGCTAAAATTCATTTTCTTGCCAAGATTATGTTCCCTCACTATCTAGCCAGACTAACCAGATCAGATGATTTTGGTTAGAGTTTTATGTACATTATGGGGTTTTGGAGAGCTTCATTTTCATAACCCTGGTTATGATTTTGTAGATTCAATGATTAATTGGTGAGATTTCATCCTGGTCAAATCTGGATTGTGTCCTATATCCCCTTTAATCGCCTTAACTTATGTTATACTTATGCATGATTTGCTAGAGGTGAAATTGAATGAATGTGTTTACTTGGTATTGAATTCGAATTGTGTAGCAACCGCCAGGTCTAAATATGTTACCTTGTTCTATTCGGCTTTCCACTTTAACCGTTTAT